CAGTCATTTTTACTGCTTTGGGCAATATAGGTATATACTAAGTTTCAGTCTTTCTAGTGTTAAACCGGCATTAAGGGGCCAGTCACGTGACTTTCCTAACGTTAAAAATAATATATATTTTTTACCTCCTCTGTTCACCTAAATAAAGTCGATATGAAGAAGATTGTTTTACCTGTACATTGCTACCCTCCGGGAAGACCAGGTATCTTTTAGACCTTGACAAAGTTCTCGGCACATCGACTGCGGTGTCCGCAAGGGCGATCCCGAGGAAGTTAACGCACGCGACGACGAACGCGAGACACCTGATGGCCGGCATCGAATTTCATGCACATTTTACTTGCGCTAGGCAAACGAATTTTCCAACGTAACCGCGAGACGTCTTGTTCGTAAGAGTCCGGAAATGGTTGTACGATCGAAACGCAACTGGAACGCGATCTGAAGGATCCTTGAACAGTTTCGAAGATCGACTAACGGGAACAATAGAGCCCCTGTGCTCTTCCATGGGTCTAATGAACGTGGCCACCTGGCGAAAATTCGTTCGGCAAACGAAATCTGCTACGAGGCTTGTTATCGCGACCTCGGGCGACTCGAGATCACCTCTAATGAACTGAGCGTACAACGGAAACGATATTTGCCCCCGGACGAGAATCTTGTGTCGCAACAAATTTATCTTCCACCACTTTTATTCGGTTTAAATCATCGAAAACTGAATGAGAATTAGTTTAGAAATAATCCTGATAAGAATTTCTAATGTGATTCAATGTTAAACTGTAATTAAGATGAATCATGCAATGGACAATATTGTAGAGGTCGTATATAATTTTTTGTTGGAGACTAGTCAAATCTGACTTCAGATTCGTGATCAGCGACCCAAAAAACCCCCGTATACCAAATTTGACATAAATCCGTTGGTTTTTAAAAAATCATCAAAAACTTTCGATTTGGAAAATCATCCAAAAACATTAAGTCTCTCTTGATGATTTTCCACAAAACCAACGGATTAAAGCCAAATTTGTTACACGGGGGTTTTTTGGGTCGCTGATCACGAATTTCAAGTCAAATTTGCAAAATTCAAGATGGCGGAGCCAAGACTTCAGACAAGATTTTTGAAAATCAACGGATTCATGACAAATTTAGTATAGGATGGTTTTTTGGGTCGCAGATTATGAATCTCAAGTCAGATTTGCGAAAATCTCGTCCCCCATCTTAGATTCGTCGCGCGTCATTGTCGTGTCAAAAAACAGTCACATCAACACTGCTGAACACGTACGAAAAATCGCGAAAATACGTTCGTGCTTTACAAAAAACATGGGCTAAGTGGGCTATTGACCTCGTGTGGCTACAAGCTCCATACTCGGTCTAAAAAAGCCCACTTTACGTACACAATATACTATTTCTTCTACTTAAGCGTAACAGAATTTCCATGCTATAATCTCTAAGTACATTTCTCCCTGTGACGATGGCAACAGTTTATCTCACTTTCTCTGGCACTGCTTAAAACACCGGGTAGAAGAAAGCTGATTGTACTTTCAGATGTGCACTTATATTAATTCATACTGTCTTCGGAGGAATGTTACCATTCCGGAAAAAGTGGCTGAAGGCCGAGAGAGATCGCGTGTGTGGGAGAGCTCTTTTTCACCGGGGCGACACTTATTTCCTCATTCCGCGGGCCACGGCGGTGGAACGAGCGTCTGTTAATTGCATATGGGAGTTGCGCCCTCGCGCGCCAAGCAGTCAGCGCGCAAGAAAACCGCAGACCATTCTAAATTAATGCTTTTCGTGAACGCGTGGCCACCGTGTACGCAATTATAATCGTTCTGTCGTGGAATGCGAGCCTGTCGCTAACCCAAAATCCACTGAGAAAGCTCGCGACACACCCGCTAACAACGCAGGGAACAAGATTAATGTTTGCACGAGTCATGGGAAAATAAAACCGACATAAAATTCATATGACGTTGTTTATTTTTAAACGATGAATCATACAATGATTGTTAACAAAATATAAATAATGAGTAGAATATTATTTTATTTGAAATCAAGCAGGAATTAATCAAATCAATTAATCAAATGTGAATTTTGTATATTTTATTTTATGGGGTGATGAAGTGGTCGACGTTGACCAGCTGAAGGGGACAATTCTTGACGTGAACGTCGCAGCCGAGCGAAGGAAACGAGCTGTCGTCTGTGTACGACCTGAAATCAACGAGTTGCAGGTTGACATGGTTCTTCGCTTATTAATACAGGATTGAAAGGAAAAATGGAAAAGGAATGTTCGACTCAGAACTCACCCGATCAGTAATTGTAATATTTTCGCGATCACTCCGTCCCTTTGGCTCACGTACTCCATCGCCTGGCAGATGTTCATCAGCAGGCACGACCTCCCATCGAAACCGTGACTATCATGTATAATAATATACAATTTCATTTAAGATTATATGAACCCTTACATAAAAACAATGACGAAATTTTGACATTTACTAGATATTACATTAATAAAACACTGTACAAAATTTTAGAAATTTTGCTAGAATATTAAAAAAATTATTACATATGTAATTCTTATGTCGAACA